GCGAGCGCCAGCCTAGCTGCCCAGTCCAGGTGGGAGAGGAAGAGGCAGAGGGAAATGGGAAGTAGGCAGTACCTGGAAACTGAGTGAGTTTTTGGCAATGCCTGGCTACATGACGAGAGACTCTTGTAGCGCCACATGATCACCTTGTTGCTGTAGTTGTAGCTGTAGCTGTAGCTGTCGGTCGTCTGATCGTGTTCTGGCTTTCGCTGGGTGTGTGTGGGAAGCGCGTCAATATGATCTTCCAGCCGCCACCTTCCATCCACAATTGCCTGCAATTGCACTCCTGCCGTGCGCTGTGCCCAACTGTTCCGCAACTGATATTTGATTTGTTTCTTATATTGCCAGCGAGTTTGATCATGTTGCGATTGCCTCCACAGTCTGATGGACTCGTGTATGGAAGTAATTCAATATGTAAATTGCAAAATAATCAAGAATTAGACACGCTGTTGTTTGGGCCAAAGAAAGGGTATATCAAAGAAACGAAGGAAGCAATTGTTTTGAAGAATATATTGGATGAAGTCTAGAGGAGAGTGACTGAAAGGCAGCGAATGCTTAGCTTTTTGGTGTTGGGTAGAGCAGAGCCTGAGAATAAGGCGAGTCTGGACGGAAAGGACAGGCTTAAAGGTAAGCAACTCATACGATATACTTAGGATATGGCAAACTACTCTATAATAGCTATTAGAGCACATGAAGAGAAACTAATGAATTAACTTTTAGATAATCCAATAGGATATCATAAAAATCCATCAACCCAAGCTCAGAAAGAGTTAAACTTTTTATAGGAAATTGTAATTGAATAATTGAAATGTGACAAGTCGTTCTTATTACCGTAGTAATCTGAAGGCATATTGTGGAATGAAGTATATCCGATCATTTAGCATATAGAAGTTCAACGAGAGTTGTTAAAAAGCTAAGTGAAGTGTGAGCTGAGCTCTTTTAGATGACCTACTCATGCACCATGTATTCGCAGGTCAAGACTTCTAACCCAATCAATGGACCACAACATTGCCCTTCGTTTGACCCACATATCACACCTCAAAAATACCTAAAGCTGACTCGCCCCTTCAGGATTAGACAGCTCTTAGTGGCCTCTTTTTGCTGCAGCCAGCGAGTGCTCAACAAGTCGTGCAACAAAAGGCAACAGCAGCTACTGAGATTGCCACACGTTCCTGGGGCCACTGGCCCTTGCAGCTCAGTCGCTCTCGTCCTGCCTCTCCTTTATTTATTATTAGCCGCTGCTTTGCTCGTCGAGCCGTGGCCAATGTTCAAAATCAAATGCCAAAAATAATGCAATAAAAATTTCTTGCAAAATATTTCGTACCACTTATGCAGAAGACAACGCAATTTTTATTGCCGGCCAACCCCTCGGCAAGGACTCTCTGGCGTTTCCTTTGCTTTGCCATTTTTTTACTTCAACTTCAATTTTAACTTTTTTATCCTTAAAGTAAGCATTTCCGCTGTATTTTTTTTTGTATTCAAAAGGCAATTGACTCGTCTAGCTGCCGCCTTTCCGGCTGCTTAATTTAATGGCCCTGCTGATTTCTTGGCCATAGCTTTAACTTCTGTTCTCTGCTTGGCTTTCCGACCTGGGTCAAGCTGCTAATAAGCCACGACCGAACCCGCCTGCAACTGCTTTAATTGATTTTCAGCTGCTATTAAAAAATAAATAAATAAATAAACCAAAACAAACGAAAACAGAAAACAGAAAACAACAATAAATTCGAGTAGCCCTTGGTCGGTAACCCTTTGCTCAACCCCTTACTGAAAGCGGGCTTCCATTCGACACCCTTGTACACAGTTTTTATGTATTTAACCATTATTGTTGTTGCTGCTGCTGCTGAAACTGACCTTTGCCGCCGACTCGTTGCCCATTCATTTGTTCGTGCGGTCAGTCGGACGGCGGTTGTCGTTTGTTGCTTGTTGGTTGTCGCCCTCGTCGCAGTCAGTCGCAGTCATCCGTCTCATTCTCATTCTTAATTTGCAGTCGTCATGGACATTGAGTGACCTTTGCTTGTCAACCGTCAGCCCCGCACTTTATACCTCTCTCTCCCTCTCTCTCTGTCTCTTTCATTGCCTCTTCTCAGTTTTACTTTAATCGCATTTCGTGCTGTGGGTCAATTCCTGATTAAGTTGTAATTTGTAGCGCTAATTATTTCATAACTGCAGTAAGGGTGTCAAGTGTTAAAGGGCACAGTTGAATTTCTTACAGGCTTCGACAGAGTAAATTTGTTGGAATTATAAAATGCCTTATAAAATAGATATATACGTACCCTCTTCTATGTTCTACTATTCTACTAGTTACTCTTTGCATTGTGCGTCTAGCTATATGTTATTTGAGTTGATTTCTTACCTCTTTGGTTAGAGGACCTTTACGACTAGACGGGCGCTGAGTAACCTCGACAGAGTAAAAAAGTTAAATTTAAATGAGGCTTTTACTCAATGTAGCCTACGCATTTCTAACCAAAAGCATTCCAGAATAATTCTAGCTACGATTCTCGCTCAATTTACGATCTTACAAGGTCAATTTTTTTGTAGCATTGCGAATAAAGTGTAGCGCTAAGCGTGGCCCCAAACGTCCATGCAAAAATGCCGCATTAAAATGCCACAGGTGGGGCCGAGAAGGGGTTAAAGGGGGTCAACTGGTGACGGTCTGCTCCAGTCGCATGTCTGCCATGCAGCCACAATTTGCTCGAAACGTGCAGCGGACGTCTGTAAAACGATTACAGCGTATAATGTTGCCTGATCTAAATGCCGCGACCTCCACGCTCTACAGAGAGAGAGAGCGAGAGAGAGCGATCTGGCAACACATGCCAGACACAACTGGCCAGATCAACGAGTTCAGGGTGCGAGTCCCAGCTGAATGTGTGCCATATGTCCGTGTGTATTTGAGTCCGCATCTCAATCTCTTTCTTTGGCTGTACCTGCATCTGCAGCAAGCCACATCTTCATCCACAATGCAATTGCACTTGATTATGCTTATGAACAGCCTCGCAAATTTTTAATAACTCGTGAAAACACACGGATCGTGACAAAAGTGGAATTTAGTGCATGCGGCCAAGCACGGAATATGCGTGAAGTAAAAAAGAAGCGAGAGAAGCAAGCGAAGATTGAGATGGCGTCTAACAAAAGGACTGAGTGTTGAGACTAGAGAGCAGAAGACTTGCGATATTATAATATATAAGATATAAGACTCCACGTGAAACTAGTTTTTCACAGTATTTAACATAATTTTGAACAAGTTTCAATTTTTAAATATAATTGTTCATATAATTATAAGCTGTTATATTATTTTATTATTTATTAAAATTCAAATTTCTATTGTTATTAGAAAGTTTCATTCCGTTTAAGCTCCTCCAACATATTGCAAATCTCAGCTAAGATTCTTACAGAATGTTCTACATGTCATTTACATACGTCTGCTGCAAGTTTCAGCAGCACACGATACACCCACCCAGCCACACACAACCGCGCAGACACACCCACGCACAGTCACCCACAACAACAACAAGATAAATGACAGCAATTGACTTCATTAGCAGTAAATGTCAAATGCTCAACGCGATTTCGTTGCCTATGTGAGCCTCGTGTTATGTGTGTTTAGAACAACAAATAAAACACGACTCAAACAGCCCCCACAGCACGCCCCCGGGCAGCTAAGCAACCCCTCGCAAAAAAAATGGAGAGAAGGAAAGAAATCCGTATTGCGCAATTTCTTCTTGTGGAAAAATTTGCATACGCATTTTGCTTGCATCGTTTGGCAGGCAGTGGAAGAGGGTTGAGGGGGTGGTTGGGATGGGGGTACTGGGTTCTGGCGAAGTGGTCGCAGTGACTCCATTACGACTACGGCGCCGATACACACTTACACACAATGAAACCATCAAAATCCAATGAAATAAAATAAAATTCCAATAAAAACATTTTGGCAAAAGGCAAACGACCAAGGGATAAGGGGAGAAACCTTTCTTCCTTGTTGACATGCGGTGAAAGTGTGCGAAAATGTTTGCAAGTGTGTATGTATGTGTGTGTGTGTGTGTGTTGGTGTGTGTGCAGCCAACCAAAAGCTGTGCACACACCCAGCACCCTCATCGACTGGGAAACTGTCCCTTTTTTTGGCAGACGTGTGCCTGGGATTTGCAAATTTTTTCGCAATGTCGTGGAAAAGCCACTGGAAAAACAGTTTTTCCTTGGCTTTGGTGTTTGCGCTTGGACCTTGTTAGTGGTTTCTGCCAGGCGAATTGCTAAACTGTCAAATGCGTGAAATGTCAACATGTCAAGGCAACAAAGGAAGCCGCTGAAGTGGGGGCCATTGACAAAGGAGGAGGAGTTAAAGACTTCTGATTGGACGGAAATGCAATTGATACTGTTGAGGGACGTCTGGAATTGGAGAAGAAGGAATTTCATATAGTGTTTGAATATTTAAGTGTATAATGAACAAGGAAAAGAGCTTCCTCCTCCCAGCTAATATGTTTCAAATTAAATGCAAATATTATAAAAAGAGTTTATATTTTTATCTTCAGGAAAATAGTAACTGCAGAAACATACGAAATACTCTAAATACATATGTATATATATTCCTACTTCAATTCCATATCTTTTGCGGCCCTTAGCTTATTTCAGACTACACCAAGGAATTCAGGTTAACGAACTAAAATTGAAAGTTAACGCTGTCGGCACCAAGGAAACTAGGGGAATTGCAAACTATTCAATCTAAATACATTTATATATAATTATAATTAGCTGCCAGTTGGCTGGCAATCGCAAAGTGAATTAATCCATTTGCTACGCCTTCTCGTCGCAATTACCTGACAATTATCTGGAGCTGAAGATCGCGTCAAGTGCTGGTTGACAGCATCCGCGTTTATTCATGGAAAATAAACCCATTCCGTTCTAGTTTGGCATTCCCTAAGCCGCAAAACCCGTTTGTGTGTGGCACCTACGCATACGCTGGCCGGGCTATAAAAGCGTTCGGTTAATTGGCCAAAAGCATCAGTCGCTGACAAAGCAACAAACTAAACAAACAATCAACATGCAAGTAAGTTGTGACTCGACAGTTGCTCCAGATTTTGTGGTTTAACTTTTCGATCTTTTCCCTGCTGCAGTTCCTCATCTGCTTGGCTCTCTGCGTGGCTGTGGCTCAGGCCGGTTACCTGGCTTCACCTGTTGCCACTTATGCTGCTGCTCCAGTTACCACCTATGCTGCAGCTGCTCCATTGGCAACATACTCCGCTGCTGCTCCATTGGCAACCTACTCCGCTGCTGCCCCTGTGGCCTACGCCGCTGCAGCTCCTTTGGCTACCTACACCCGTGCTGCTGCTCCTGTTACCACCTACGCCGCTGCAGCTCCTGTGGCTACCTACACCCGTGCTGCTGCTCCTGTGACAGCCTACTCCGCCGCTGTGCCCGCTGCCTACTCCGCCTACTCTGCTTCTGTATATGGCGCTCCAGCCTACACAGCGCCAGTGGCCACCTATGCTGCTTCGCCCTATGCAGCACCCATCTCTACCTATGCTGCTCCAGCCGTCCTCAGCCCCTTCCTGAAGAAGAAGTAAATGCTAAACTTTCCGTTTCAACTGTAAACTGTTCCGACTTTAAATATTTGCATCAATTAATAAACTTTTAAAACCGAAATTGATTTTTATATTTTATTGTTCAATTCAATTTTTTAGTTAAGCTTGGCTCTTTTAAAGAGACTCCGCTGTAATTGGTCTACAATATTTATTTTTTAATTTTATAAGCTGAGCAACCAGATACAGTGGTAATTGTCTAAGCAAACAATGTCATTTGGCAGTCATTTAAGACATTGTATTAATATTTTAAAAGTTTCACTAGCTCTTAAGCTACAGTGAAAGCAATCTAAGCAAAAGCAACTGTCATATAAAACACTTTACATTTTATAATCTATATTTATTTTCAACTCAGCCTTAAATACAAAAAAAAAAAGAATTTTATAACAATTTCATGGGCTTGAACAACTGGCTAAGATGAGTCAGAATTTTTAGAATACATATGTATATATTAATCAATAATATATTAATGATTTTCTGCAAGAGAATTGCTTGTCTTCATCCTCGATTGTCCACATTGGAAAGTTTCTACTGTACTGGACGTTCTGTGTTGGAGTTCCAAAGCGCGTGGGCGTCAAATGGCCAATCACACGGATTAATTGCCTGGCGATAAGAAATGTTTTGGAAACTAACAGCAGCAGCATTCACAGTCGAAGCTCCCAGCTCCCAGCTCCCAGATCCCAGCTGCCAGCTCTGAAGTGTGGCCTCCTCTTCTGCGAAGCTGGCGAACGCGCGTGCTCAAATAAATCATTTGGCAGACACGGCGCAGGCAGCCGGAGGGAGAGACACTCGGTTGGCCTGCGCCCAATCCATGGCGATCGCATTTCAAGTGCAAAAGTGCCGCAAGTGGCAAAACAGCAAAAGGTGACTGCCACAACAATTGTGGGTGTAACGAATTCGCCGTCAAATCGCGAACAAATCGCAAACGAAAAGCGAACGCACAGAACCAGAACCAGAGCCAGAATCCGTACTCGAACCAGATCCAAACAAATCCCAGCTTTGCGATCGTATGTGCTATGAGAGAGGCAGCAATTGCTTCTCACATAGCCAAAGTGAAAGCCAGCCACTCAGGGGGCGAAGGGAAGTGAGGAGTTGCCAGGTATTACAATTTAGACACCGGAAAACAATGAAATTGACAGCGCCTGAGCTTTGGGCGATCATCTGCGCAGCCATTTAGTGGATATTTGTTGAGAATTCTTTGCGGCGCTGTCTTATTATCAATCTTGAAGTGGGCAGTGTTAGAGCAACAGGGTTGCCAGGGTGCTAAAATATGAGAATAATTTAGCAAAATTAAACTGAACAGGTAGAACAGAGGTAGAAGTCTGGAATAGATGGAAACAGTATTGGAAAACAGACAAGGTGAAGTAGACATAATTGAAGGATGAAATTGATGGACAACGGACTTAACAAACTAATTGAATTGAATTGAATATCAAACGGCGATGAGCCTGAACTGATATAAGTTGTGGGAGAGCGAATAGACCCCAAGAGTTATCAAACTGAAGTTTAAATAAATAGAAGTGACATAATTTCCATATATCTAACGAATGAAATTAATAATTCATTATTTAAAATACTTTTGAATGGATTCCTAATTGTTTGCTCATGTCACAGATATACAAATATAAAACAACTTCGAGGTAGGTATTTCATATTAGAATCTAATTATAGTATTAGAAGTATTCATAGTAGACTAAGTTCAAACTTAATCTTTTCAAACTCTATGTCTTAAGTTATTCTCTAATCATACTGACAACCCTGCTCGGTTCAGTCAACATATTCAGGAAGCATAGCTAACTCGAGAGCGGCTGGGCACAGGAATCACTTGCAAAGTGTTGGCCAAAAATGCCGCACGAACACCGTTCAATTGCATTTAAGAAGCCAAATGACCTCCGGCGCCCCTCACACAGTGCAACAGGCGAGAGCGGGCGGTAGGGACGAAGCACTTATTCACAACTCAATGCCTGTTTAGCACAGACGAGAGTTCGGAACGTATGGACCCGTCTAACAAGCCTTTCCGCAACTGCTGCCAACGATATGTACAGGCTGTGCCTGTCTCCTACCCTCCGTCCCTCTTTCGCTCTCTCTTCGCTACGCATACAAATATTATATTTAAGCCTAGACGAGTCTCATTTCGTGCCTGGCATCGATTCCTGCACTTCGATACAATCGCAGCGAACGGCAACTGCGCACGCGCAGCGTCTGCACTTGAGCAGCTCTGAATGTGGATGTGGATATGAAATTACTTCGTACTTGGCTTAAATTACAGGCTTTTGGTTTTTCATAGCTCCATAGCTGCGTAGCTATGATCATGTTTGTCTATTGTCTATTTTTTTCTCTTATTTTCGGTATATATTTTCCTTGTTAGTGTTTTGGCAAATTCGTTGAATTGCACGTGAGATGCATTGATAAGTGCCATGTGATCTAATGCTGACGGCCAAAGCGGTATATTATTATACATCACACTCTCTGCTTTTTTTTAGTTTTACAGAATTCAGAAACGCATAGTCAATTTATTTGTCTAAGGTACAAATATATAATCAAAGTTCTTAAGCTCATTTCTTATGGGTAAGTGCCATTTCTATTGAGTACCAACAGGTAGCTGGTTATATCTAAGTCTAAGATATGATAATTCCAAAATATGATTCGTTTCCATTCACTAAACAGTCCTAAGCATATTACACACTTAAAACACTACCAAGTCTCACAGTTTCACTTGAGAACTTCAAATAAAATATATTTGAAACCTCTCTAAAAATAACAGAGAGAGCGCAGCTATACAAACGCCTTTCTCTTTGCAATAAAAAATTAAAATTAAGAGAGCCTGTAAATGGAAAGAAAAGTGCGTGGCATAGATGAAGATGAATAGCCAGCAGGCACAGTGGGGCAAGCAGTTAGTAAAAATAGACAAAAGTATATATTTATGTTACCCTCGATTGAAGGCTGAGGTAAATAAGAGAATTGAAAAATCCTTCACCTTCGTTAATACAAATGACGCCCCGAGAGACCAGGCAGGATCAGGGTAGAGACCCAGAGACTAAACAACAGTCTGCACACGCACACAGCAACAATGGATAAGAAAACGTACCGGATATGTTCCGGCGGAAGCTGAGAAAGTAGCTAGGAAAAAGGTGGAAGAAGCTGACGAAGAAAAAATCATTTACATGTGGCTGGAGGGGGTCAATGCGTGGAGGGATGATTATTAAATGGGTGGCATGTTTAACTATAAAACGCACGCGACCAGGATGAGAAGAGCGACCGGGACAAGGGTGGGTGTCAATGAAGGACAGCACAGGATTTGCATGAAACCCCACGTTGACTCTGGGGCAGGGGCTGCCAGACAGGGGGCCAAACTTGTAGGACTGAATGGACCCCAAGTTGGGCTGGGCACGTGGATGCTTTGGACAGGCTATTGGTGTGACAAGAAGCTGCTGGATGATAAGAGCGGGGCGAGGCACTTCCTACGTAAGTGCGGCACTTGAAACCGCCTTAAAGCGTGCTCTGTGGATGGCCAGAAGCAGGGCAGGCAGGCAGGCAGTCGGCCAGGCGGCAGCAGCAGGCACTGAATTATGCAAAAGATTTACGCGCTCGAAAACTTTTTTTTTTTGGTTTGCTTCTCTGGGGGCGTTCGCCTTCATCTTGGCCGTCACATTGTATAAACTTTCGAGCCGGCCGCCAAACACATCTGACAGTCATACACTGAAGCTGTACGCAGCCAGTGTGAGCGCGAGGGGGAGAGTGATATTTCTAGCCCACTGTGCGACAGTTGGCGTAGACTGAGGCTGAACTGAGTTGTCAGAAACAAAACAAGCAAAATTTGTTGCAGAAGCCAACAAAGCTCACAGGATTACACAGAAAAGTGCTCAGCAGGCCCATTGGCCAAGTGGAAACACATTTGCGAGAATTTATTCAAATAAAGAGAAACAGTTAATCATTTTTACAGAGAGATATGAAGCTACTAAGACAAGAATTGTGACGGAATAAGGGAAAACCCATTCTCAACACAAAAAAAATATATATTTTCAATCTGAATAATAAATTAAATGTCAGCTAAGAGAATAAACCGAGAAGTAAATTGAGCGCCTTGTCAAAATCCATTCAGTTGTGACGGAATATGAGAAAGGATCTTACAAACATTTCAATTTAACAATCCATTTCAATCCAACAATTTCAACTGCTTTTACACATATGTGAAACTCCTTTCTAAAAAATCAACGAGCTTTAAGTGGGATTTTTACCCTAAAAACTCCTTAAATTTGTTCAGTAAGGAAAGCAGCTAGAGTCTTACTTCTATTTGGTAATTGCCGACTAACTCACGCATACCTGTTTAAGTCATCGTCTAGCTTAGTTCACGAAGTGCTGCAATTTACTTAAACAAATTGCTGTCTACTTTTCTCAGTGAAGCGCTTCAGCTAAACGTTTTCCCATATCAATAAAGGCAACGTTTGCGGAACCATCTGAAGATGAAGCCCCCTAATCACTCAATTGAAAGGCAATATGGCGCCTAGCGGTCAAATGGCAATAAAAATCAATATTGAACTCGAACCTGGGCGCAGAAGAGACTGCGATCCGAAAGATGATCGTGAACTCAAATACGTAGCAAATAAATCGCATGCGATAGAAATGAGCATTGAATTCTATTAAAAAGGCTGCTGCTAAAGGCGGCCAGAGCCAAGTGAATATATGCAAAGAGTACAAATGGAAATGAAATCGCCTTTGATCCAAGCCGCAGCTGAAGAGTCGTCAGGTAACCAGAAGACGGGCAGGTAGAAACCGCAGGCGAACGCAGCCAATCGGTAGGGGCAAAAATCGTTGAAATATTTCAATTAACTTAAAGTGCGCCGCCGCGCAGAATGGACGCAGATGAGCCGAAGATGGAGCTGAAGCTCGAGCTTGGAGTTGCATCTGTAGTTGGAGTTGGAGCTGGAGTCGGACTCCAGACTTGGCGACTGCCTGGCTCTGGCGTCGGACAATAAACAATGTTTTGACAAATCGCTGAAAATTGAGTGCGCAAAATTATTATTTTCAATTTAAAAAAATCAAAAGCAGAGCCTCGC